ACTGTTTTGAACTCTCATGGCTGTTAGGCTGAAGCACTTGAAACTTCTTGGCTACATTTAGGCACTAAAAGTTTTTTCGTTACTCTTAGGTACTGAAAAGTACTTAGTTCAGTTTATCCATTTAAAACTACTTGGTTAGATTTGGGCATAAGAAAGTTACAGTTAGGTTTAGATACTGAAAACGCCTTGATAGGTTTAGGTACTGAATGTTTCTTGGTTGGGTTTGGGTACTGAAATTTACTTAGTTGGGTTTAGGGACTGACAACTACTTGGTTAGATTCAGGTACTGAAAAGTACTTGTTTAGTTTTAGGCACTGGAAATTTCTTGCTTAGGTGTGGGTACTAAAGAAAAGACCATAGTTTGGCAAAAAAATATATTCTTTTTCACAACATTTGAAAAATAATGACTTAAACCCAGCTTACTAACACCGTGAGCCTGTGCATCCGGGCACAGGGGCCAAATATACCTTCATTCCAAAAGCCCCAATCCGGTGATTTTGCCAAAACAGCTTTAATTGAGGCCCTGGGAATGAGAACAGGCTTGAATTATGCGTCTTCTGATGGAACTGCTCTTCATTCACTTCGCCTACTTACTCAGTTTGAGCCAAGTCTCAAGTCTCTACACAAAAGCCTGAATCAAACCGCCTCTACAGAACAGGTTAAGACTGCTCCTCTATCGCTGACCTCTGGATGTTTACATAAATCCTAGGTGGGTTGTGGGAGTAAACTAACAAGCTTTCTGAAAGTGTGGAAACCAAGTGGACTGAGAAGTCCATACCTTGATATTTTTAGGCTGCATGGTGATGCACAATCCATTTCTTGATATTTTCTATGAAAGAAACATGGGAGAGTACTGGAAATCAACTACAGTTTTACTGGGTAATCTGTTTTCACTCTGTTGGGCATGGCTCATTGGTGTTGCAGTGGAGTAGTATCAGTGTCTGATCCACAGTCAGTGTGTTCTCTGCAGCAGATGGCAATGAACAACCAGCTAAAAGAAATCATTATTGGTGTACAACAAGTATTTGTAGCATTTTGTAGCATTTTTACAATTTTACCTCCCATTAAACAGCCATATCAAACAAGGAAGTGAGGAAAAAACACTTTGACATGACATTTTTTACATGCAACACATTTTTTGGTACTACCTCACTCGGTTAGCTCAGTTTTTACGGCAACTTGTGTTTCAGTGGGACGAAAAACAAAAATTACTCTTTTGTCTGATGGCTTTGAAAAGAACTGTATCTTTCTTAGTGCGTACTTTCTGCAAATAAATTAACCCGGTCAGCTGTTTCAAATATTCAGGGTTTTTTTTGGGGGGTCTTTTGCCTGTCCCATTTGGTTCTTTAGCCGTCAGAATTGTTGTCTGAAGACCAACAAGAATACCCAATGGATTTATTTTGCCAAATGGATCATCGTGGCATTGCCGTATTGGTCCATTTGATCGACCTTTGTTTTTATTATTTATTATATTTTATTTTCAGATGTTACAGACGGGACAGACATGAGTGAGGGATAGGAAAGGGAGAGAGAAAGAGGAAGGAAAAGAAAAACGGAAGGGGAGAGGGACAGTGAGAAAGGGGGGGAGAAAAAAAATCTCCTGGATCACCTGTTGAGAGAGAAAGAATAGAAAACAAGCAAAAAAAACCAAAGCAACATACTAAACACAACACCATCGCATTAATCTAGCTAAGTGTAAACAGCAGTAAATACTAAATATTCAATGTTGTTGTGCAGCATGCAGGACAGACAGCGCACAATGTGCTTTGAAGTAGCAGCCAAGAAAGGTGTAATTTAAGTCTACGAGCAGTGAACACGCATGTGGATCAGCGCGCTTGTTTTCAAATGGTTTCCACATGTAATGGTCTGCAAGAGGATGTAGCGAGCCATAGCCCCGTCCCCCAGGGCATGAAGCAGGCATGGAGGAGATCCAGGCCCCAGACATCCAGAGGCCTCAGAGTGCGAGAGCCCAAGGAGGACCACCGGAGGGGCATCCGTGCCACCCTCATGGGAAGGGCTGAGGATCCCCAGACGAGACGTCACCCAGTAGCCACCGAGCAGAAGCTAGAGGGGGCTGCACCGGCGTGCCCACCGGCTCTGCCAGCAGCCAGCTGTGCCAGAGTGAACCGAACCGCAGGCCCAGAGGCCGGAGACCCGAGGGCCCTCCGCACCCCGGAGGAGGCCTGACCGAGCAACAGGCGCCAGGCCCCGCCAAGTAGCCACCGGGAGTGAGCTGGTACATACCTGAGCGCCCAGCCCCGGACACCAAGAACCACCAATGCACCGATCCCTGAGGGCATCAGTCACCGGCAGGGAGTGTGGTGAGGGGAGATAGGCCTTGGAGGGCCTGGGAGTTCCCAGAGAGGTGGAGTCTAAGACCCGACCTGACATATAGACACAGACAAACAGGCACATGACACAAACATGCATTCCCACCCTCATGCAAACATATACAAACACTCAGCACTCACCCAACGTAAGGACAAATATTCAGTTTTACTATTAAGTTTTACCTCCAAACTTCAAAATACTGGCACATTTTTAAATAAAGAAATGCTATAATGCAACATAAATCTGTGATAAAATAAAAACAAGTAAAATATCATGATAATAATAAAACTATAGTCACACACTCTGAATTAATAACTAAGTTTTAAATTTTTGTGTCAGTCTTTGTCTTTGTGTCAGGACAAAAACCACTTAGTAAAGGAGGAAGGAGAAGGAAAAAGGTAGTCTAAGATCACTGTAGCATTCAAGCAATAAAATTTTTTTAGTACATGTAAGTGTTCCACATTTTTATAAACTGTATATTTCACATCTGCAGTGTCAAATGTGAAAGTATCCATCATTTTTTATTTAATCATTTTGCATCCATGTTAAGATAATCTAAATCCTGCGGCTCGCTATGTATAATAAAACTCAACAAATCAAAAAGGCTTAGCCAAGGTGATTCAGAGCAGATGAATTTCACACAGAGACTTTTCTGTTTTTTTGGAGGGATGCAGGGTAAAAATCTTGCTTGGACCGGCAGCAGAAAAAGAGGACAGGCAGACAAAGAGAAAGAGAGATGGTAGGATAAACCGGCAGGATGACTGACAGGTGACCTGACAGGGCTAGCAATCCCCAGAGATAAACGCCACTTGGCAAAATGGATGCTGTCGATGTGGAGTCCAAATAAAACAGCAAACTCAATTCAATTCAATTCAATTCAATTTTATTTATATAGTGCCAAATCACAACATAAGTCGCCTCAAGGCGCTTCATAGATACAGAGAAAAAAACCCAACAATCATATGACCCCCTATGAGCAAGCACTTTGGCAACAGTGGGAAGGAAAAACTCCCTTTTAACAGGAAGAAACCTCCGGCAGAACCAGGCTCAGGGAGGGGCGGCCATCTGCTGCGACCGGTTGGGGTGAGAGAAGGAAGACAGGATAAAAGACAAACACTCAAAGGTTATGTTAACATGAACAGGAACGTAGCCATAAACAGAGGCACGGAAAACTTAACATAATTTTCGTTGCTCCTTTTCCCTTGTGTGCGTGTTTGTGTACTTCATGAACTTTACCTTTCCTACATTACACTGGGGTGTGGAAACACATTTCAACTGCATCTGAGGGAGCTGCTGACTTATTGTTGTTTCTCTTGTCCTCATCTCCATCCTTTCAGAGCTCATTTTTTTAGAGGGATAATGATGACAGCACCATATTTTTGTTCAAAGAGTCCTTTATGCCTTGTTTGGTTTTTGTGTGTCATCGCCGTATTAAGGCCATCCATTTAAGCCGAGTACAGTAGTGTACACATGCTTGCACACGCAAATCTCTATCACTATTTACCGTGGTTGTTTATACAATATTCCCTCTTGGTAGTGCCTTTTTAATCCTTATTGTAGCATCAGAACTGCCTTTGTTTACACTGCAGCTATAAAAAAAATGGGGGGGGGTTTAAAGGTCGAGCAAATACAAATGTTGTTTCACAGCAGCTTCACTTGTGAAGGCGAGTAAGTAGCACCTGTAAAGAAAGCAAAAGATTCACTTCTTGTGCGTTAGGACAAGTGTGCTGCCTGTCACGGCCTTGCTGCTCCAGCGAACTTGCACACCTTTTTTGTTTTTGGAGACATGGAAATCTCAGAGTTCACCAAGTCTGGGGTGAAATTCATCTGGAAAACAGTTTTGAATGGGCAAGAGGAGATGTGGCATCAGAGCAGCTTAAGCACGCTTGGTTTGGCAATAATATGACGGTCTTAGAAGTAGAGACAGCTTGTGCCCAGGCAGATGAAAAGCAACAGAGAGAGGAGGAAAAAAAGAGCAGGGAGGAGCATTAAGGGACAGCACTGACGTGCTGTCACCTGTTTGCCGGTTCGTTAGCCGGGAGCGCTGCTGCATGCTCTCATAGGGAAAGCTTTTGATGCCTAATTTGCCGCTTGGCCGGGTTTGCGCATGGCTTGGTGCTCAGTGGAGTGGCTGTCCCAGTCACATCCTCTCGTAGAGTAGGCTTCTCTGTCAGAGGCTCGGACTCGGACGGGGCAGTATGAGGAGGCAGTACAGAGACGAGGGGTATCACCCGCGCTCAGAGGTACATGGTCACCAAACGCACCTGTTTAAAAAGACAGTTGATAACGCCGGAGCTCCTGGGGACGCTTGCGCAGAAGGAGAGATGATAGAAAATCGTTGCTTCTCTTTGCTGTTATTTTGTGGACTTGAACTGAGGAATCAAACTGTTTTTTTTTTTATTTCTTGTGTTTTCCAGACGCAGCTCTTTTCCACTTGCTTTAGAACTTTTTCTGTTGTTGCCGTTGTTCTGATATTCTTACATCCCCTCTGGCTTCTATGAGAAAACTAAAAGGGAAAGCGGTTCTTTTTGCATTTTTATCTTCCTTGTATTGACAGCTCTTTCTCCACTTTGATTTCTTTACATTCACGTCAGAGACTGTTTTTTCTTTTTTTTTTTACTTGTCTCTCAGTTTCTCCGTTGTCTCTTTTGTGTTATTGTTTTCTGCAGCAAGCTCTGGATTCCAACCTGAGTAATCTGATCAAGAGGAACAACGAGCTGGAGTCTCTTATGGGAAAACTGATTCAAACTTGTCAGCATGTAGAGGTGAGTCCCACGTTGCCCTTTATGGTTAGCTGTATGTTGGAATTTATTAAATGAATGGATAATATAATATTTTACTACTTAAGACTTAACTGTAACCTGTGTAACCTGTACAGTATAGTTACTCAACATTTTTTATTAACCCTTAGCTTAGCATGTAGCAAGAGTTGACAACAAAACTTACAGTAAATGACTGAATATGACTATCATGTTGAAAACCTAATATAATATTTATTTTTTTGTTTTAGTTTTTTTATATTTGTCATTTTTCCTTGATTACTCACTCAAACTGTTGTGCTGTTTTATTTGTGTTTTGTATTTTGTAATGCCACTGCAAAAACCTTTTTTTCTTTATGTATTCGTGAGACTGTTAATGGATATCATTTTAAAAAGTGAAGATGTAAACATAGTAGACTTTGGCAAAAAAAAATTTATTTACATTGATTTGTTTTTTAAACCTGCTTTTATTCATTCACATTTACTGGTCTAATATATGTTTTTATCTGCCCAGAAACAAGGGAAAAACATGACAAGTGACAGTGTAGATTTATTTACATTAAAAACAAATACGAGTAAAGCAAAGTTTACTCAAGAAAATCAGATTTTTCATTATTCGTCAGGTTATTTTGGAGGCGTCATCGTAGACTCAGGGAGTGTGGCCAGCATATTAGTTTGTTTTGTTTTTTTTACAACATTCAAAGTTTCAGTGATTAATACATTATGAATATTACGCTCCTAAAGTATATATTTTTAATGAAACTGCTTCTAAAATGTATCTAGCATCTACATTAACTGCAGAGCTCTGTTTAATTTCACATAAGTATTCTTAATAATAACAGAGAACGTTCGAAAATCTGATCTTACATAGGATGCAGACAAAAATAAACGTACACAAACAAACATAGCGTCTTTAGCATCTTTTAAGGGTTACATATAAATATAGAAAAATACAAATATATGTAACATCTGCAACATCTTTCAGCCTCCATGCACTAAAAAAACTGTTTTCGAAATTGAAATGTTGAAATTTCCCAAAAGCTTTGAGTGCAGAAACAGGCAAGTGCAAATCATCAGGTTTCAGTCTAACACGTTTATTTTTGGGATAACAACCAATTGTGCGAATGTCTGCATGCATTTAACTCGAGTGAAGGCAATTCTGTGCTAAGCCTGCCTGTTCATGTTCCACTAGCCCACTAAGAAGCTTTAAATAAAGTGATGCCACAGGCAGTGGTTGAAAGGCAGTGACATCTTAGTTTAGAAATAACGGAGAACAGCCTGCATGCGTGGCAAGGTCTTTGCATGCTGCAAGGAAAGAGGATTATGATTTATTAACATTTAAGCGCTGTATACATTTTTTTTCGAGCATGTTTTCATGTTTCCCATCACACAGATATGCTTCCTCTGAGCTTTAAGCTCAGGGGGAAACTGTGACGAGGCAAGAATTTCAAACAGGAGAAAGAAAAACTTTGATCCTTTTCTGATGAATAAATGATGAACATGAAAAGGGCAAACAAACCCACTTGACCTATTTCTCCCCAGTGCATTATGACACATGCAGTGGAGTTTCACAACATAATCTATAACCCTAAATAACCTCTGAGGTGTACACTGATAGCACGTCAGGTCAAGCTGCACAGGGTCGAACTGGACTAGAAAAAGTTCCAAGCAAAAAACCAATAACGATCATGGGCTAAAAAGTACATCAAATACAAATACAACTTACATGAACTCAGGAAACTGAGCTGTCTGATATGCTTGGCATGAATATGTCAGGGCTTAAAAATAAATAAATAAATAGATAAAAAAAGAGATGGTTACTCAGCTTTGGTTGGCGTGCTGTTGATGGAGCTTTCTGAATTTTTCACATCACATTAAGCCTCTCCCAAAGCCTCACTAAAGATGGCTGCTGAGAATCTCTCAGACACTTAATGTTGGCGAAAGATCAAGCAAATGGCAACCTTCCTTAACGAGTCATGTTTGAAAAAATAAAATAAAAAAATAAAAACAAAGAAGAAAAAATGACTGCACACCCGGTTCCTCTGAGTCACCATCTGCTGTGGTTCAGCTGTGGCCACAGTTTCATTTAACGCTCCCACACCAAATTACGCACGCATTCTTTTTCGGCTGGCATCGTGACACATTTTTTTCTTTTTCAAAGAATCTAGTGCCAAACAACATTTGGACCCTTCTATGCTGTTTTTTTTTTCTTTTGCAAAAATGGGGCCCAGTTATAATTTCGTGAAGGTACAATGAGTTTCAATGCAATAAATACTCAAAGAGGGATCGTTTTAGGCAGTTAATTAGTTTGTTTATTTAAATGAAAGGAAGGAAATTATCCCATTAAAAAAAAGAAAAAGAACACAAGAAAATGAAAAAGGATTAGCGCTTTTGCAGGTTTGTTTTAAAGCCAGAGAGAGAAGGAAAGCGTTACCTCTGATGCGTGTCAGGGAATATAGGCCCTTCAAGACCAACTTCACCCCCCTCAGAAAGTTTGTTTGATGCACATTTTACAAAGTTTGGATATCCTCCAGGCTTGAATCATTTGTGTGCATGCATGTGTGTTTCTGTGGTTAAATGAATCACTTAATGTCCCTCTCAGGCTATAATCTGTCATACTGATCATATGCTCCAGAGGGTTCTGCCCACAGTCATTAGATGCTTCACATCTTTACACAGCACATCATGTACTTTGGTCACAAATTGTGTGTGGGTGTCTGTGTGGCTGTGTACATGACAGTGTGTCTGCGCCACTCCCTTGTTACTGCTGTTTATATTATGACATCCATTTACTAACAGGTTAACTATGTTCAAGGGTACAGAAAGTATTCTTTTCCTTACTTGAAGATAAGCTTTCTTTGTCGAACTATGAAAGTGGATTTGAAGCAGGAAACTAGCTGATAAGATATTGTAATTATGCACTGCTTCCTGAGGGATTGGTAACCACTGCTAGAAATGCACTAGAATTGGTAGAGTTGGTTATGGTGCCAGACACCACAGGAAGTCATTAACAGTCGATGTTAAAAAGTAAGACAGTCGACAGCTGTGTTAACCAGTGTGGTTGTGTGGTACACCAACACAGGCCACATACAATCAATCGTTTTTTTAAGATGAGAGCAATCCCTTAAGCTTGCAACGTAAAAGCTAAAAGGTAAAAGCATCAAGTGCTGATGCAAGCACTGCTAACGTTAGCTTACACATAACTCAATAACTAATTTATTGTAAGAAAGTGACACAAAAACAAAGTGGTAGTTGGAGAATGTGAGGAACAATTGACAATACAGATGATGTGAAACCTCGTCCTTTAGACCATGCTCAACTTTGATTATTTTTTGATGTGGGATTTATGGTTACACGTTGGTGGCTATCTTGGGTAGTGCAGATAGAGCAATTGTGAGTAATCATCTTATACACTAAGGCCAAAAGTCCATGTGGACTACCAGTGCAGAACCATGCTTGTCAGTTATGGGTTACCTTACCTTTAGACTAGCCTTTCAGTCTGATTATTCTGAATGAGCCATAGATAGTTCATAAATACATGTATTTGCACTTATAGAAGTGTAATTACTGGTTTAGTCAAGGGTACTGTCTACATAGTGCAGGGGTGGGGGAACTCCAGGCTTCAAGGGCCGGTGTCCTGCAGGTTTTAGATCTCACCCTGGGTCAACACACCTCAATCAAATGATTAGTTCATTACCAGGCCTCTGGAGAGTTCAAGACATGTTGAGGAGGTAATTTAGCAATTTAACTCAGCTGTGTTGGATCAAGGACACATCTAAAACCTGCAGGACACCGGCCCTTGAGGCCTGGATTTCCCCCACCCCTGACATAGAGCATATAGGTGACAGCAAAGGTGACACCCACCTGCTATTGGTTCATACATTGGAACATTAGATGTGTTATCCTCACATGGGCATGTTCAGACAGCACATAGACTAAGTTGAACAGAGAGGGCAGAGAGGGCATACTGGCTAGCATCCAGGATGTGTCAGACCTTTGCATTCTCAAATGTCTGTTGTGTAAATCCCGAAAAAGTTCAGGGCTAAAGTGCATCTGTGAAAAGAGCTTAAGATTACTTTTGTGTCTGTGCCATCTTATTGAGAGATAAGCATAGAGGGGTATATCACCTTAAATCCACAGTGACACCTTCAGATGTCACCTTCTACAGTCACGTAATGTCCGAGAAAGCAAGTTAGAGCTTTCTGGTAAACTAAAGAGACAAAGTAATGCCAGAAAATTCTGAGGCTTTTGTTCCAACTTCATTTTAGGCTGTTTTAATCAGTTTTTGGAAGCCATTCCTAAAACATCAAAACATTAATCAGTGCCAGAAGTTAAATAAATGCGGCTAGAGATGAAAAGAGCTGCCTTCCAAGGAACAGATTAGCCTCAGCATGTGCTCTTTTGGTTTATATTAAGAAAGGCTTCAACCCAAAAAACCTTATATCTGCATAAGTATACTAAGTGGTGTACAAAATGCCACTCAGAGATAACATATACAGTAAACTGTTAAAAATGTCAGGCTTCACCAGAGCTGTCACAGTGATGTTGATGAAACCAATTAACAGTGTTGAAAAGACAGTTGCAGAGGCATTGCTATAGAGCAGAGCTTAGGCATTCAGCTCGGCATGTCTAACATAAGCACTGAGATGTAATCCAGGTGGAAAATTGTTTCTGTTGGCAAAATGATCCCAGAAAATCACATAAATGCTGTTTAGGAAGGGACGCTGAGGATATTGTGGAAGTCTACTCCAACCTCGTTTGGCTCTGTGGAGGAAAAGCAAATGAGCCCCTATGATGTCATTATTAAAACACCTGTCAGCATCGATGTGTGCTTGTAAGAGTGTATGTTTGCATGAATAACTGTGCAGTCTTTCTTCAGCTCAGTAACGCTCACAGCAGACTTCCCTTTCATTGCTCCCAGTGCTATCGCTCTGCTGCAGCAAGAAAACACTTTACAAGGTGCTGAAAGGGCCACTAGGAAATGACCACAATGAGAAATTACACATTATGTTTGGACCTGCACTCTCATAATTGGACTTGAACAACTTTTATAGCCTGCTCAGACTATACAGGTTCCAACTGCAAAGTGAATCAATTGCCTCACAGAATGGACCCTCATGGCAGAACCACCTTGAAAGCGGTCAGCTGCACTTTTTCAGACACCTTCCAGCTAGACTAAATCATTTTTATTAAAGTTAACTGCCATCAGTGGGATTTGAGGCACACAGATGTTTCAGTCCATAGACTGAAATTAGGCTGATTATGCTCCTTTTATAATACTGCTGCTCACTTAGGATATTACTAGGCTCTACACTGGAATTCAATATTGTGAATTCCATAATGATTGTAGGTGTATATGTATATATGTCTGTAAAAGAATAATTTGACTGTTTAGATGTAATCACCTTTATATTCCATTCCCCTTAAATGCTACACAACAGCATCTGTAAAAATAAAGTTACTGCATATTTTTGTTTGTCATGAATAATAAGTAATCTTGACTAGTTAGCTTCTTTAGCAAGTTAACTAGTCAAGAATAATAAGTATTCTTGACTAGTTAGCTTCTTTAGCAAGCTAACTAACCTAGGTTAGCTACAATAGATAGAACGCCTGTTTAGTAAAATTAGTGGAAGAGCATGGCATATTATTTGTCAGATAATTGCATTAAAATGATTCAAAAGGCACCAACATCTCAAACACAGTTTGAAGATTTAGATCTTTGATTTGAATTAGCTGAACCGATGATTAGCAAAGAGTTAGCCATCCAGTTTGTAGCTAGCCAACCTGCCTCTAAAAGCTGCCTCACTTCTAATAATGGATAACTAGTTATGAGTTAGGAAGTAGAGTTTTTATGAAGGGGAAAATAAGACCAAAAATACTTTAGTTTATCAGCCTGTGAACATGTTTATCTCTGCTGTGAATTGGGCATTTTGCTATAGATATCTACATGTCCGTGACAGTTCACAAATGCCCTTTGTTGAATTTGAAAAGCAACTTCTGTTATTGAAGTTGCTCAGTGAGTCAGATTTTCCACAAGATCTATTTGTACATCGCTTCACCTTTTTATGTACTTGTTTAATATATAAAACAGCAAAAACATAAACCTACTGTACATTTCTTTCACATTCAGAATTCTCACACTCATATAAAAAGGCAAATATATATACACTGTACCGTGTATAAGAGCTCATTTCATTACCCTTGCACAGCATATTGCTGAGAGTCATGTGTGCTTTCTAACAGACATAGTGCTTCCCGCTTACTTTCCTTATCACTCAGCCCTCTAGCCAGCAGGAGGCAAAATAGCTGAATATGCCCTATCTTCGTCAAGTGTTTGCTTCCAGACAGGAGGGCTGGCTGATGGATGAAAATAACACCCTGTCCCTCAGTGGACATGATGTGGAATCACTAAACATACATCCCTCTATATACCCCATCCACACCTTTCATCAGTCGCTTTGTTTGTCTAATACTCGCCATGAATTGGTTTCTCAGGTGAACGCGTCCCGCCAGGAGGGCAAGCTCTTGGAGGAGTGTGACGTCCTGATTGACATTATTCAGCAGAGGAGGCAGATCATCGGGAACAAGATCAAAGAGGGGAAGGTGAGGTGAACGCTATGGGCCGAAATCTGTGCCATCAGAAACTGAATTTGAATAAGTTAAATCTGAATTTGAATTGCTCGGATTGAATCTGAATTGTAACTTGAATAAATGCTTTTAAAAACTGAATATGAATTAGCCTAATTTGAAATTCAATTTATTGGTTTGAAAATGATCATCACTAAACTGAAATTGAATTTTATAGTTTGAAAATGAATTCATTTGCTTTGAAACTGTATTTTATCCATTAAAAATTTAGCTCTCGAATAATTTCGGATTCACTTCTCAACATTCAGTTTCAGTTCTACAATTCAATTTCAGTTCCAAAATTCAGTTTTTTGGGACTTACATCCGGTTCCGGTTCAAGAGTAATCAAGCGCAGATTAAATAGAACTACGTTTTACTAGCGGACCGAAAGTGTTACTGATGGGAATCTACAGCGTCTTGAGCTGAATTAAGACTTCAGAAGTCATTCGTCATGTCGAATGACCAGCGGATAAACTCTCAGGTTGGTAATAAATGTATTACATGTATAAAAACAAGCGTCATGTTAACAAATGATAGCCGTACAGTAACTTTTATGCTTATCGTAGCTGTTAGCTAAAAACACTAATTTAGCGTAGTTTCCCCTGAATTCAGCTTTGACAAACAAATATGATCGACTGTTTCTAGTAGAATTCCAAAGTTGTCATCTTGTACCCTCTCAGAGCCCTGTATGCTTGCAGAGACTCCTACAGTAGGGAAACATGCAAAACGGTGTCCAAACCTTTGTATTTTAGCTTTATTTATGTCTCACACAGCATCCCAACTCTTTAGCTAACTTAATAACGTTAGCTAAAGTGAATAGTTAGTCTAATTCATTAGTACTGCATTGCTGGATCACATCTGTTTGAAGTGATATAATATGATATACAACTATCACTGAAACAGCAAACTTTGTAAATAAACAAACAACACTTCTCAGTTTCTAAACATTTGGCCAGAGCTGTAGATTACACTATAAGTGCTTGTTCACTCTTGACAAGAATTACATTTCTAAATTTACTTTGTGCATTTACAGGTAAACAATATCTAATATTTTATCTAAATGACTGCTTTGTCTTTGAAAAGGTGAAGAGCCTGAGGCCGGTGACAGTCCAGTTCTACTCCAAGTACACCCTTAAGGTGGCTCACAGGACAACCCTTAAGGTGGCTCACAGGACAAGGCCACATTCCTGTCCTGCCAGAAGAGAAGAGACACTTCAGAGTCTTCATGCAGTTCAACCACACCTGTCATATTTCGTATGACAGGGGTCTCAAACTCCAGTCCTCGAGAGCTGGTGTCATGCAACTTTTCCATGTGTCCCTGGTGCAACACACCTGAATACAATTAGTAGGTCATTAGCAAGAGTATAGAACTTGCATGCTGAGGTGGCAACCCCTAACCCTACTCAAGTAAATTTAAGTAAATGTATGTATTTGGAAACATATACTTCTAAAAATACTTTTATTGCACCATGTTCATTCACTCATGAGCTGCTGTAACATGAATCAAATGGCTGAATTGCCAACTCAGCATGCAGTCAAGTTCTATAGTCTTCCTAATGACCTACTAGGTGTGTTGCAACAGGGACACATGGAAAAGTTGCAGGACAGCGTTTGAGACCCCTGCCGTATGGTGTTCATGCAGTTTTCTACCCCACAGTTAAAGCATGTCTGACTGTCTGTTCAGCATATGCAAAAAAATATGATGAGTTTAAGCATGTGATGACAAAGGTCTTCCATTATGGTGTTTGTCATCACATGTCACAGACATCTGGATGATCATTTGGAATAAACAAGAAACTAAAAACTTGTTACTTCATCTTTTACCTTTATTGTTATTATTGTTCTTATTTTACATTGTTAGGCATTAGGTTTATTTGTAGTAGTCCTTTCCAACTTCTTTCCCTCTTCCATGTTACTGTGTCAGCATCTATTTGGGGTTGGGAGTGGAACAGAAAGTAAGGAAATCCAAAGTGCCATTAAAACCAGGAGCGGTTCTTATATTTCAGAAAAAGGGATTAATTCAAAAGAAATGACCTCAATGCCATATTTTATTTAGGAACCTGTTACGTTCTGGTCCCGGCAAGTAATCAAACGCAACAAAAGTTTTGCCCCACTCACTTCCCACCCATGCACAAACCCCAACAAAGACACCTTCGTCAAGTATTTAAGCAGCCATTTATTTTCATCAGCAGTGAGCAATGCCAAAACAATAAACAAAACCCCCTAAAACCCACTCCCTACACTTCCCTACAAAAAAAGAAAAAGAAAAAGAAAAGACAAGTCTCTTACCTAATTTCCTAACAAAAAACAGGAGAAAACTTGTTCAACAAAAGAAAACGGCTTCTCACGCCTACTAGGCTGCGACAGTGAAAGTTATACAGCAAAGGTACAAAACAAAAAGTGACCGCCACTTGTTAACCTATTTACAATTATTTACATGGCAAGGCTAGAGGTACACGGGAATCCTCCAGCCTGCACTACAATAACACAACACACAACTCCGTGATCGAGTCAACGGGGTTCCCCAAAAGCGCTGCCAGGTGACTGTCATCCGGACGTTAAGTACTGGAGGATGGTCCATCAATTATCCAGTCCGAGGATAGGTAAAGACTCCACCCGGATACTTAGCAGCCACGCCTAGGTGTCCACCTTCTAGGAGAGGGAAAAAGAAAGAAAAGGGAAAATACCACCAACCATCCTCCGGTGGGAGGCACAATACCAACATACACATCACTGGGTCATAACAGAACCCTAGAGAGCACTTTGCAAAATAACACATTCTTATAATTTCACCCTCAGGGAAGGTGATGTAGGTACAGAGCATGTGAGAGTGGTTAAGTTAATGTCTCTTGTCTAGATGAAGGCACAAGAGGGATCAATGGCAAGGCGTAGAAATTCAGTATCTTCAGTCCTCAGTGGACACTCCATTTCTGGCACAAAACACCTGTACAAGATGGTTGATTTAGGAGGTGATCCGACGACTTCAGCCTGTCAAACATAGCAATGGAGCAGTATGTTTAAAAAAAAACAAAACGAATTAAGCATGCACTCAGTACCCTAAGAATTATTATGGTAGTTAAACACAGTGATAGTCACATATCATATCACTTCAAACAGAGGTGATCCAGTAATGCTGCACTAATGAATTAGACTAACTACTCACTTTAGCTAAAGTTATTAAGTTAGCTAAAGAGTTGGGATGCTGTGTAAGACATAAATAAAGCTAAAATACAAAGGTTTGGACACCGTTTTGCATGTTTCCCTAGTGTAGGGGTTTCTGCAAGCATACAGGGCTCTGAGAGGGTACAAGATGACAACTTTGGAATTCTACTAGAAACAGTCGATCATATTTGTTTGTCAAAGCTGAATCCAGGGCAAACTACGCTAAATTAGTGTTTTTAGCTAACAGCTACAATAAGCATAAAAGTTACTGTACGGCTATCATTTGTTAACATGACGCTTGTTCTTATACATGTAATACATTTATTACCAACCTGAGAGTTTATCCGCTGGTCATTCGACATGACGAATGACTTCTGAAGTCTTAATTCAGCTCAAGACGCTGTAGATTCCCATCAGTAACACTTTCGGTCCGCTAGTAAAACGTAGTTCTATTTAATCTGCGCTTGATTACTCTTGAACCGGAACCGGATGTAAGTCCCAAAAAACTGAATTTTGGAACTGAAATTGAATTGTAGAACTGAAACTGAATGGTGATAAGTGAATCCAAAATTATTCGAGAGCTAAATTTTTAAAGGATTAAATACTGTTTCAAAGCAAATGAATTCATTTTCAAACTATAAAATTCAATTTCAGTTTAGTGATGATAATTTTCAAACCAATAAATTGAATTTCAAATTAGGCTAATTCATATTCAGTTTTTAAAAGCATTTATTCAAGTTACAATTCAGATTCAATCCGAGCAATTCAAATTCAGATTTAACTTATTCAAATTCAGTTTCTGATGGCACAGATTTTGGCCCATAGAACGCTCAGAGGGGCGAGGACAGTGACACCATTTGTTTGCTATAAATGCTGTATTTATAACAAGCTTTGCCTACATATTCTCTCAATCTTTCTTACAACTTTCATTTAATATTAAAATGCTGCTTCAGTCCATCTATCAACTGCTCAAGCACACATAATAATCCTCCGAGAGTGAACATTGTCTGCAGCTGTAATAACCTGTGAAACAAATGGATTCCCTCATTCATGCTGTGTGTTTAATATCTACATGACACCTAACTACAATTTAGAGCTTGTGTTTTGCTAGAGTTGATTGACTTATAAGGCCAAGCTTTTATTAATCCCAATTTAATCTCTCTGATATCAATTTAAGATATCATCAGACCTCATTTTCTAATCAACACAATGCGTCATCACAGTTGCTTGACCTGATCCTTACTCTTCCAACAGACGGCAAACCCTTCAGCACATATTCAACAGAAGGGAAAAACAGACAGACTGCCCAAAAGCAGATCCCAGAGCATATGGGACGGCACTCTTTCTCGTACTCTAAACACAGATGATTTCTTTAAGCTCCGTCTAATGAGACTTGGAATGCACTAGGGATGGGTTTTTTTTTTTTACCATGTAATCTAGGCTTTCAGCTGTTAGGATTGTGCAGCAAATAGAGAAATGGATACAGATGGATGGATCATTGTTTATAGACCAACAGAATTCTTACAAATTGATTTTGGGTGTTTGTGTTAGCTCATACTCAAAAACAACTCAACACTGTCTTTTCTGAGACAAAGTTTCTGTAGTAATAATGACTAGCAATTGATTGAAATTTTCAGTGCCCTTAAATCAGGATTACAGTATCTTGGGTTCTTTGCAAGCCAAGCTGCTGATGAAATGTCCTTTGACCTCAATGTAACCACTGACCTAAATCTGTCTCCTGAAATCTTTGCTGACAGGGAAAGAAAATGAAACCGAGGAGCAAACGAGGCCATCTAAAATCCCAGATTTCCATTTAGCAGAATCACTGACAGCTCTGAAAAAGTTAAGATTAGCTGGGGCATGAGAAGATTAGCTGATACTGAAAGAAAACATTTTGCCAAGCACCCTGTGTGCTCTTTATTTACTCTTCTCTTGTTAAGATGGAGCTTCTGAGGACTTCATCTTAACAAGAAAAAATGTTTTGTTTTGTTTTTTTCATATGCAACAATTTATTTTTAATGGTAGCTCTAGTGCGGCAATAAGACCTATACACCCATATCTCCAACCACAGAAAACAAGAGGCATGTTGTTACATTAGTTTGGTGGGTTGCAAAGCATCTTGCAGATGAGCAACAAGGTCGGTAGGGTAAAGTGACTCAAATAATGAACACGATTTCAGATTTCCCTACCAGAATGAATGCCCTTAAAATGATTCACATGAATAATTGAATTCATACATTTTTATTGGCATACACAAGATAAACCATGGACGTAGCTTCCAAGCTGGAAAAATAAAGTCAGTGCAGAAGTGTCTTAAACCAGCGGTCCCCAATCCCCCAAACGGGTACCAGTCCATGAGTCGTTTGGTACCGGGCCGTGAGAGTTGAGGCTTGGGTGTGAAATTCATGGTTCTCAGCAATTTTAGCATTATTTTTTTATTGTTTTTATCGCTAACTCAGTTTCCCTGGGTCGTTTCCCGTGTGTTATGAATAAATCTTATTTTTTTGGTACCGGTACTGGTTTTATTTTGTTGTATTTATCCGCAACACCTTAAAGGCTGGTCCGTGAAAATATTGTAGGACATAAACCCGTCCGTGTTACAAAAAAGGTTGGGGACTGCTGTCTTAAACCACCATTCTATTCGAAGGCCACCAGCTAGCCAGTATCTGCTTGCAAAAAGCCTTTCTATAGTCGTTCTATAGAAGTCTATGGTAAAGCAAATGAGCCCCTATGACACCTATAAACGCTATCCTGCTAAGTTGATGGGTCAGTCACTAATTTTATGTCATACTGAATAAAATAAAAAGTCTATTTCAAACGTCTTGTTTTCCTTTTTTCAAAATAGCGGATAAATGTGCTCAATGCCTAATGACTTTTCAATCTCGTTGTCAAGTCTGTTTCATCAAGGCTTCAAAACAGAATTTAAGAAACCAACCAATCATGGGTAGCTATGTCCAAAACATTACCCTGAAGTGTCAGGTGCAAAAAGAATGTGGAAAAAGAGACAAGTAAAGTGAAAGTTAAACTAAATGTCCTGTGATTTTATTTATGGATGATGGGTATGTTCATGCCCTTTGTTAACCTTCTGTGATGTTAATACCAGTAGAAGAAAACGTGCAGAATTTGATGACTACCTACATTAGTCAACCGTGGATTTGACCTTTTCATGTATGAGTGACTTCAAAATGTTAACATCCATCTTCTTGCGCCCATAAAACCTCATATTTCTGGGACGTTTTGTGCCATCAGCTCTGATTATGTTATCAGCCAAAATGATTCACAACACCTTAACTTGCATAAGCACTATTTCATCCATTCCGATTCATCCTGATAGTCTTTTCTGTGACTTTCTCTTTCACACTTTCTAGGCACAGAGGCTTCGGAAGCTCGCCCAACAGATCTCCAACTGCAAGCAATGCATAGAGAGGTCCACAGCCCTCATAACACAGGCCGATCAAACGCTGAAAGAAACCGATCATGCTCGCTTTCTGCAGACAGCAAAGAGCATCAATGAGAGGTCAGACAGCCCACACACTGACCGCATGCCTTAATTATTCAGCTCAGCATGTTAAAATCTAGCTTAAGGGAGAGGTTAAAGACTGCAACCACACAAATGGTGAGAAACAGTTTGAAAACTTTGTGTACATAACTTCGCCAACAGCCAAAACAAGTAGAGTGGGATTTCATCTTCTATTTAGCATAATCTTATTCCATTCCCTGCTTAAGCTCTCTGACTAATTGATTTGGCAATTGAGAACAAAACCTGCTCTCCAATATGTGCATCCTCAGGAGAAACAAAAGGGGTGATATAAAAAAGAAATCATTATCCTTTAGTCCTTCATACAAAAGCAGTGTTTCAATCAGAATCTAATCTGCACAGCTTCACTAATTAGGAAGATGATTTTCTTTAGATTGGGAGTTTGTGTTTTTATTTAGCAACTGTTGAGGTGTTAATTCTGTATATGGATGTCATGTACAATGCTTTGCAAAATGCTAAAAATGCTTGTCACTGTATTGCTAACACTTGTGATGTTGACATGACATTTTTTTTCAAGTCCAGTTAAAATCTATTTTGGGGTGGTCTAACCTTCAAAAACACCCCTAACACATACATATACAATTACAAAATAACTTAAACTGACTAGTTCATATGAAAAGTGTATTACAAGTATCTACTGGTCCTGATATAGGGTTTCCATGGCTACTGCATCAACCCAAGTGCTGATCCCTGAGATACACCTGACTGACACCTTCGACACATTTGCCCTGGACTTTACTAGAGAGAAGAAGCTGTTGGAGAATCTGGATTACCTCACTGGTAAAAACCATAGCCTGACTGTGTTTGGGTGATGTGCTATGTTACCAACTAATGCTAACAAGCTTGGCAGGCATTCAATGTACTATACCAGGGGTGCCCAATCCCAGTCCTCGAGAGCTACCGTCCTGCAGCTTTTAGATGCATCCTTGTTCCCACACACCCGAATCAAATGAATGGCTTGTTATCAGGCCTTTGCCAAACACGATGGCATGCTGAAGAGGTAATCAAACCATTTGATTCAGCTGTGTTGGAGTAGGGATGCATCTAAAAGCTGCAGGATAGTAGCTCTCGAGGACTGGGATTGGGCAGCCCTGTACTATACAGATCACTGCTAATTAGTGCCAAGTAGCATTCAAATAAAATGCTAGAACACTGGTTAGTAGACTATGGGCCAGCTTTACTAATGTGTTTCGTTAGTGCAGAGTGGGTATTGGAGGAAGAAAAATATACTGTTGGTAAGTAAGTAAGTAAAATTTGTTTCTATGGCGCTTTTTGCTGATGACCTTAGAGCTCGGGAAGAGGAATGCGGTTTCAGCAGGTCAGAAATGTACTGGGGAGCTTGACCATGTAGGGCCCTAAAGGTTAAATTAAAATTTTAAGTATTTACAAAGAGAGGACAGTGACAGGATGGCATGTATAAAGTGGGAATATCTGCAACTAACTGTGTTGGATATATATTTCTCAAAACACAAAATATAGTGAGAAGCGTAAAAAGCATTTGTTAATGTTCGTGACACAAAATTTACATTTAGGGATATGTTTCCAAGGAGTTTAGAGATTGTGCTATTTTGCCTATTCAACTAAATCTGACCCCATAAGCCTAGATACAATTCAGGTGGGTGACTCCAAAAGGGAGTAATTTGGCATTAAGACGCAAAGTGTCTTTTGTATCAGGCTGTAAAGATGATTATTCTGCTGTAAAGTTCAGCCTTTTGGAAGTTTTTGCATTTGAAGATAGCCTCAAGTGGCCATTCAAGGAACTGCAGGCTTTATTTTTACCCAGAAACCCAGAACTTTCTGCTTGGGAAACCTTTATGTTTAACCTCCATTTTTCATCAAATGGACGTCTGCTGATTATAATTCAATTCAGTTCAATTCAGTTTTATTTATACCGTGCTAAATCACAACAACAGAGATGGAAGACAGGACAGATTATACTGATTAACCAGAAACTAATTTTCAAAATGCGTAGTGACAATCACTGAGAACTGCTGTTCATGTTCATCCTCATTATCATCATCTTTTGATGGCTTCTTTCTTTGAATCCATGACCTAATGTATAGTCTTAATCTATAGTGTAGCCCTTTGATTACACGATTCAGTTTCTCATGGACTGTGAAACTCAAATATTGCCTCCAATTAAGATTATATTCATGCTTTAATTTAGGATTTTAAAAAAAATCTTTTGATGTCTCGGTTTTCTTCAAGCATTGCATTTGAACAGACCCCAGCCTATTAACTCTAAAATTAATTTTCAACATTAATTTCCGATGTCCTATTTGCAAGGCCCCATCAAAATGTCACTGCATGAATTATGGAGCTTGGTGGGGACAAAAACGAGGTAGTGTAGTGGGTTTTGAAGGTCTGTGAAAGTGGCTGGCTCGTATTTATTCTCTGTGATGCATGAGGGCTTCGCTGGAGGGCCTTTTCACTAAGTGAATCAGTCTGAATCACTCCACTATGTGCAGCCACTCATGACAGAAGGCTCGGGAGAGGGAGCGAGTGACAGACAGAGAAAGAGATAGGAAGTGGCTTTACAATCAATTTAAGCTGTGCCTTTGTATCTTTATTTCTTTACTTCGGTCCATTCTGTTTCTATCTCTTTCTACCGAGAGGCTTCATGCACTGAATACAAGAGTGATTCATTGTATTTATTTCTCTGTGGAACAAAAACAGTTATAACATAATGAAGTTTTCCAATGAATCAATGCATGAGTGGAAGAGAGCCAATCGAACATCTCTGGTTATGTAACGACTCGCATTTGTTACTCCTAAAAAGGGCTGTTACATTTACTGTTCCCGCTGTTAATGCGATCTGCTTTTTATCTGAATTGTTTATTATTTTGCTGCTGCCTTCCTTTTAATGCTCAGCGTACCACTCTATTAGAAAGAGCATCCTCAGTCCTATGTGTAATGAAGCTTGTAGACTCATAAATCGAAGCAAATGAACACGTACAAGGTTAATCAAGGCTACCGTTGTAACAGCTGACAACCTTTGAGTGTGTCATCACTTTGGAATATCGCTAATGTAATTTGCAATTTTATCCAAACACAATCTAAAATTAGGGCCTGAGACGATGATTTTTTTCTTCAATCATTGCAGCTCCAAGTGCTCCGTGCATAAGGGAAGAACTGTGCACGGCGTCCTATGACACAATCACTGCCCACTGGACGTCAGATGATGAATTCACTGTGACGTCCTATGAGCTCCAGTATGCTATTTTCACCGGACAGTCCAACATTGCCAGTAAGTATTAAATGAATGCTGGAATCAGATAAGAACTAAATGGTTTTTCAAATCTTGAAAGCACAAGAATGACTAAATACATGAAGATATAACCCAGCTCAGATAACCAATCTACAAAGTTTATTTTAGTAGTTATTTTTAAGGTCCCAGCTACAATAAAGAAAATAAGAGGTTATGGGGGTGAATTCATTAGCATTAGCAAAATAAAAAAGAAAGTTGAAAGATGGTGAGTTGTTTGTAGGGAAGAGCTTTTTGAACTGCATAACAAAAAACTTCCCAGGGGGAAGGAGAGAGGTTGAAGCGGCCCATTGAGCACCACATTCAGGGTCTTAAAGCACCTCAATGGCTTCCATTAAGTAATTAAGGTACAACTCCACTTCCCAAGTATCCAATTAATGTAATTTGTGGGAAAAAAAGCAATCCTTTTAGCAGTACTAACTTGGTAAAAGTGAATGCAAACAGATTAATGTAATTTCCATCTGTCACGCTGAATTGTGAATAAACATTCACATATCCTTTAAGAAGATCAAAACTTGTCTAAGAATCATGTTATGTTTGAATGCTGACTCTTTTATTGTAGTTTAATTTTACTCATCATCAGAGTAATCCAGTGACAGCTGTCTATATGCACGGGTGCACTACAGACATCAGGGATGACCGTAATGAGGGCCACGAGCTTTAGTTCTTGACCAAGCCATTAAAGTTATTATAAAAGTGTTGATAGACTTGTAACTTCTTTAGATTTTCTTCTCCTCTCCATGCACCTTGAAAGTAGACAAAGTAATGCCAGAAAGCCCTATTCTGCCCCATACCAATGTCAATTGGGCCTTCTAAATGCATCCACCTTGAAACATCCAAAACCAAGCCCTAACCCTAATTCTAGACAAGTCATCTCACCTCATCCGAGGGCACATCGAGTCATTCCCAAACCAGCTGAAAGATATATCCTCTTCAGTGAGTTCTGGGTCTGCCCCAGGACCTCTTCCTGGCAGGACATACCTGAAACACCTCACCTAAGAGGCATCCAGGAGGCATCCTCGTCAGACCTAAGATCAACTCTGTACATTTATGCTGCCCTACTGCTGGCCACTAGCTCCCCTTAGGCAGATGGGAGTTGAAGTGCTTTTCTAAGATAGCGTTGGAGTGGAAGTGGAAGCTCCTGGAGTGAAGCCTCTGGCCTTTATGCTACTATCACCCTGATGTTGTCACACATCAAATGACTGTAGCTTGTGAAGGATGAAAGAGGGATAAGATTTGACAATAGCAAATCCAGAATGCATGAAGAGCACTCAGTAAAAGATTAGACTTCACTGGAAACGCAGAGTTCTTACACTGAAACATGTGAAACATTTAGGTTTAAGTGGCATCGAAGGAGTGAGATGTGTCAGGAGGGATGACAGCTGGGAAACGAATCAGCATCCTTGACACACGCTAAGTGACACAATGTCTCGTAGAGCAACAACAGACAGGCAGTATATGCCGACATACTCACTCTTGCTCAAATACACACAAGCCCTAGACAATCATGAGCACACTCAAGTGAGCAACAACTACAAGGAAGAAAATGGGGTCAGGGCATCTGAAGGCGAGATCCCCTGCTCCCTTTCAATCAAACCGCCTTTTCTCTGTCTTTCATCTGTTCTTTTTGAAATCCTTTCTAACATTCAAACAGAATTACATAACAGTAAAAGTACCTTTTTCCATTTCTTTTCTTGGTTACCATGCTTTGTTTCCCTCCTTTTCACTCAGCTCCTGATACTTTTGGGTTACACCCTTCCTTTATTTTTTTCCTTCCCATCTATGTAAGGTTACACCTTTGCCATTGCCTTGTCATTACTTCACAGATTAAAGAGTATTTAAAAATGACAGCCATTAAACTCATTTGACACTTCATCTCTTCTCTTGCTTTCACATTTCTGTCTCTTTCCATTCAAGAAGACAGCATGATTTTTCTCACCTCTTGTTATCAGGTCTGGTAATGTCAGAGGTGTTGCTTTTGACATTCAAGTCATGTGCAAGAAGTTTCCCCCCTGTGGAAATTGAGTTGTATCACTATGCAGGAAGTAGAAGTATTGTAATTTTATGGAATGGAACAGTGAAAACATTATCCTTCTAATTGTTCTGTACAGCCTTCTGAATCTAATTTCCAGTGGGAAATACATGACAAGATCATGCACAAACTGCTTTTTAGTCTTAAAGGTCTTTTAGCCTGTTGTAGTGTCAGTAGCTTCCTCAGTAGTTAAATAATAACTGCATGGTGGCATACACTAATATTGCCTTTAGTCTTTAGCATCATGGATTTAATAATTTTCAGGATTCAGGATTTTCAGTTAACTACATTTCATTGTTTCTTTTTTCCTCCAAAGGAATTTAAATTGCATTCAAAAACAAAGTACACACAAATACATGTATAACATATTAGCCTAAACTGATAACTAATGAATTTAGGTGCCTGTCTACTTTCATTATGATTATTCATTTACTAAGCACATTATTGTCAATATAAATAATTCAGAATATTGAAAGTAGCTTTACTAGACCATATTATATTATTAACAGATCATACTTTTATGTTAAGCTAGCTTTGTTAGCCTGACTTTAGATGCTTTTTCTTCCATAATCAATGAATTATATGTTACATAACAAACTATCATCTATAATCACCTTGACAAGATATGTTTTTGTGTTAGCTAAAGTTAGTCATCAGGGCTATCTCACTGTCTACCTATCATTTCTGAAAGAATTAAGCTAGCATATGTGAGTTTACAATATACTGCGGAGCCCCACAAGGGACATTAGAGAAAAAAAAATGAAAATGAACTTTTGCGAGATCTCAAGTTACTTTTTACCGCAAACCTTTGGTGAGATCTTCCAAAATAGGTTGCATCCCTTCGGAGGCCGCCAGCTTGAAGCTGACCGGGAGGTCCAGGCACAATGTACTGGGAGTGGGTGTTCTCGTCAGCTCTAGTGGGCCTCGACCTCCTGGTCAGGTTTGAGCTGGTGGGTAACAGACATTTCCGAAAACCTCGGAGCACTTTTGCAAGTGTTAAATGTCTTGATAAACCGAGCAGATATTTGAAGTTTACACAGCTACATTCTCGCCTGAAAATATCTTGAAAGCGTATTTTGTGACCCAGATAGAGTAATAGCTGCCACCATTGTTGGAAACTGGAATTGGCTGGGCCACATTATGAATTCTGGGATAGATTGGGCCACGAAGGATACACCCGACCCATCCATCAAATTCGGGGAAATGAAGGATGCATTTGGAGCAGCCTTCGAATTGGGACAGCCGTCAAATGCGGCCTCTGAAGGATGCGGCCTATTTTGCGTTATCTCGCAAAAGTTTTGCGAGATCTCACAAAAGTTCATCTTCATTTTTTTTTCCAATGTCCCTTGTAGGGCTCCATAATATACAGGTTAGTTTTAGGCCTGTGCTGCAAATTATCTTTACATAACTGCAGAAATGCTTCCATTTCATTTCGTAAATGAATATGACTCTTCATTTCCTCTCTTGCTTTAACATTTTAAAAGGTAAAACAAATATTTAAACGACTTTGTGTTCAGTGTCAGCGCACCCGATGATATTTTTGTCTGTTTAGAGGTCTTTGTTAGAATGTGGCATAACAGTTTATGTGACAGTGACATTAAAATTGTGGGTGCTCATTATTTAAAAAAAAAAACATACACACACCCAAAACACTAGTTTCCATCTATGGATGGATAACAACGAGCAGTGGCAACTTCCCGATCAGCAGGCAAACAAAGACATGAAATGGAGGGAAAATGTACACCCACATATACACACATATGCCTTAGGAGGTTGTGCAGCAGCTCTAAAGTGCCATTAAATAAAAAGCACATACCAAAGACACACAAACACACATAGCAGAGGGAGCACAGTGCAGCTATGAAGTCAATGAGGTGTGAATAGTTTCCTCATGTGCCTTTTCACACCCTCTCACCTGTTTCCACTGGCATGGGGTTGCACACAACCAGTTATTTTGTTCACCGTCCTTTCACACAGCGATGCATTATTCTTCCAGGGAACTCTTAAGTAAATAGTTTTTCTGTTATTTGTGAGTTATTTTAAGGAGAAATGCCTGCAATTATATGAATTCTTCAGCACTTCAGTTTCATTTTCATTCTAGACTTTGTCCTATAGAGAAGCATAATGCAAAAAATAAATACAATGAATTATAATGTAAGTGAATTAACTGTCTATTTACTAAATCTGACATGACTTTTTTGTTTTTTTTCCTCCACTCTCAGGTCTCTGTAACTCCTTGGAAAGCTGGATGATTGTTCCCAACATCAAGCAGAACCACTACACAGTGCACGGTCTGCAGAGTGGCACCAAGTATATCTTTGTTGTGAAGGCTATTAACCAAGCGGGGAGCAGGAGCAGTGAACCAGGGACTTTAAAGACAAACAGTAAGATAATAAAGACTGAAATAGTCCTCAGTCTTTTTTTTCCTGTCTGTAAACACACAGCCCCTAATTACTATTTATTTGGTGGACTGCTAAATATTTGCCATAGGTGGTAAGTAGGTCAAGGAGAGAAATTACATATGCTAGAAAAGTCTTCACTATAATCTCTTACTAGTAACTACATGGTCCTTATGGTCAAGTTGGTAAGAACTCAGGTATACTCTGTCTTTTCCTAGCAAATTATGGGAACCATTTGTAAATCAACTCTTCTATTTATCTCGTTTACTACGAACAGGCCAGCCGTTCAAGCTTGATCCTAAATCTGCTCACAAGAAGCTGAAAGTGTCTCACGACAACCTGACAGTGGAGCGAGATGAAACCACATCCAAGAAAGGCCACAGCCAAGAGCGGTTCGCCAGCCAGAGCAGCTACGGTGTTGTGGGAAATGTCTATATTGACAGTGGGCGTCACTACTGGGAAGCTCTCATTGGAGGAAGCACATGGTGAGAGCTACACATTTTAAGTAATAATTTATGGATTCTGTTTGAGGATAACATCTATCCATCTATGCATTTCTGTCCACTTATTCAAAGTTAGGTTGTGGGGCTAAGCAGACTTTTCCCCACCAACCTTCCTTCTTTCTCCTGAGGTATCCTCCTATGTCAGATGACAAATGTAATCCCTCTATTGTATTCTGGATCAGCCTTTGGGGTTCCTCCCAACCGAGCATGACTAGAGAACCTCTAAAAGGAAAGCTCCATCCTATTTAGATGCTTGGACCACCTCAGTTTGTTGCTTTCTGCATAAAGGAGGAGCAGGTCCTTAGAGATGTCTGAGATCCTCAGCCTGTTGCTAAAGATGTGTGTAGACACACTACGCAGGTAGCTGTATCCGCAATCCCAACTTTTCAGTCATGGAAACAAATGAAGGATGGAACCTAGATTGATGTTGAAATTGAAAGCTTTGCCTCATTTCACAATTACTTCTGACAGTTCACCACTTCATCTGCTTATACCACCAAATTCACTTATGAACAGAATACTGAGATACTCAACTAAGCAAATACTGATGGTCTTTGGTTTCCAAATAATGATAACAGAAATTTTATCTCCTTCCAAGGTATGCTGTAGGCATAGCCTATAAGTCAGCCCCCAAGCATGAATGGATCGGCAAGAACTCAGCGTCTTGGGTGCTCTGCCGCTGCAACAACTCCTGGGTGGTTCGTCACAACAGCAAGGAGCTAGCGATCGAGCCGTCACCTCACCTGCGACGCGTTGGGGTCCTGCTGGATTACGATTCCGGATACCTGAGCTTCTATGATGCTGTAGGCTCCCAGCACCTACACACATTTCATGTCTCTTTCATCCAACCCGTGTGTCCTGTGTTCAACGTGTGGAACAAGTGTCTAACCATTCTTACTGGTCTACCGATCCCTGACCATCTAGAGGGACTGGAACCAAACAACTGAAGGCTACACAGAGACAAAAATAAATCAACCCAAATTTAGTATCTTAAAGCTGCACTGGGCAAGAGATGTGAAAGTACTCATCTTTGGATAGAGAACAGAAGAGGGATCTATCCTCTTTAATTCAATCAGCTCTGCTCTATTTACCCAACATAAATTCTCCTCATATGCACTTTTGTACCCAGAGGCAATGACATCTCTATCAGAAGCTAGCAAGCACACTGTCCTAATAAAAAGCCAGACTTGCAAATGTCTGATTTATTCCTCCTTTACAAGCTGGCTTCCTTTGATACATGCCATAACACCCTGTTTGTCTTGGGCTAAATGTCTATGTGAGTATCACGGCAACTTCACTTTCTCAGACAGCAACAGAACTTGCTAGCATTTGTGCAAAGTTAGCTAGTGCAGCTTTACTGTGCAAAAAAGACATATTGCATGACGTGTTGCTTTGTCAAAGCTTCTCAAAAAGATTTTCTGTCTATTATTAAAATTTGCTCAATCAAATCTGACTCTGGTTAGAAAAGTCTACTCTAAGGCACTTTGGGCTATGGTGAGCATATTTGTACCATGGTAACTAGGATACAAGCCACAATCAATTATTATTTTCCTCTCTACCTGCCTTTTTTAGATTATTTTCTTAGATATTGCATTTTGAAATTCCCTCAAACTGCACACATAAACACAAAAAGTATACTTTCATCCGTCAGGGTTGTTGGAAAGAGCAGAATTACAGATGTATATTTTGTAAAGTAATTTCACCCCTCTTATCTTTTCCTTGCTCATTAAAAAGGAACCAAAGTAGCCATTGCTGTTCATATAAATTTTACGCTATGAGAATAAATGGAGACTTATTTTTAAAATGTGACAGAGAAGAAACTAGCATTATGGTCAATATTAAATGCAGCGTTCCCTTAAATATAGACTTTGTCTTTGCACATTGTTCATACTTTATTCATGCTTTTTGTAGCTTAACATTCAAATGGATTCTGGTGCAATTAACATGTATTCATATTGGGAAAGTGTTGTGTTGGACTTATTGTGTTCAGTTTGTTTTTGGCAGTCATACAAGTCCTGTCATTATTATTTTATGTGGTACATAATATGTGAATTGTGTTACAGTTGTAGACACAGGTTATTATTGGAGATTATGTGTGAAATGGACATTTGGGTGTAATTTTTTTCTTTTCTTTTCTTCTTTTTTTAAACGTTCTGCTAATTGAGCATATGGATATTTAGTGGGACACATCTGTGCCACAGTACCGTTACACCAAAACCAGGGTGTTCTCATCTCTACATACTGCTTTACATGTTCTTTTTACACTTCAGGTCATCAAACCTATATTCAGACTGTCTATAAAAAGATACTTTATTAAGTCAACCACCCACGCACAGGGGGGCTGTCCCCAGACGTGTTGCACAATGACGAAGTCAGTAGGGTAAACTCACCTCACTCAGTCACCGGGTCCTATTTGTTTTTTTGTTTTTTTCCTTAATTTCTCCAATTTAAATGGATAAAATTAGCCAACGTGAGTTTTAGCTGTTGATACATAAATAGTCCAAATCTGTTAAAGAAAACCTCCCAGAAGAAACACAATCGAGTACAGTATGTGCTCTGTAATTTAGGTTAGAGTCCACTGAATAATTGTTAAGCATTACAAAATTGTAAATGTAAAGATTTGGTTGTATATCTTGACGGACGTTGGTTCAAAACACAATACATAGAACAAATGAGCTTCAATTCTGTGTTTATTGGCGATAGATTGAACTCTGTGTTTCATTGTAAATGATGCAAATATTGTGTTTAATTTAATGTTTCCATTTGAACTTTGTATGAGGCCATGATGTTATCTGTTCAGTCTCTGTGGATATTTTTACGGGAAAATAATACAGTACGAGAGCTTGCGTCACTACTGTCTGAGCTAAGTCTGTACGAGAGTGAAAAATAAACATTGTTCCTTTTCACATTAAAGTGTGCTCTTTTGTTTTTCTCCAGTTAAGTAATATGGCGCTGGTGTGAGAATGTCAAGAGTTGATCTCATAAAATATCCAGGAGAAATGCCAGGAGCCATTTCTGGTGAAAAATAAAGATCGCATATTGAGAAAATTCAGGCGGTCCCAAATTCAATAAGTTTAGACTGTGACATTTTGGTTTTGAATAAAGTTACTGGTGCCCTTCGGGCAGGTGTTGCACTCGGTGCTGTAAGCAAGAATCAGTCATTTAAAGCTGCTGTAATCAATATTCTTACATCAGCATTGTACTTCACTGCTATTTCACTCTATAGGAACAGATGCTGCACAGGGACTTGACAGCGTGGGCTTTTTCTGTCACGCCATGAATCATTCAAAAAATGTTCTAACGTCAAGCACTTCAGAAGGTTCAGACTTCAGCCTGCTGAGTTCACTCGAGTTTACACATTTCCCGTAGAAGAGGAAGCTGTCAAGTTTATCACGTGAACTTCCCGCGGACATCGGGGGCTCTTCCTGATTTTTCCAGGAGCAATTGTTCTAAGACGCCAGGGGTTCAGTGGGGCTTCACTGCTAGACTGTTATAGTGTAGCATTAGTTGAAGCTCTGTGTGTCGTTCACACGGTTAAGTGGCATGAGCTCGCCAAATTAATTTAACCAGCGCTCCACTGAGCAAACAACAAAAGGGACACAAAGACAATTTTTCAGGTCACCAAATGGCAGAGTCACGCATGTGCGTGTGAGTGTATGTTTGTAATTCACAGCTAGGATGGCTCTTTGCCTGTTTTCATAAAATTCACCATGACTAAAAAACAAGCTGGAAATATGGGTTGTGGTATTGTAACTATGTATCTTAAGCCTTATTTTTGAGATTTAATAATGTGTCAGTATAGGCAGCTCTGAGTTTTTTTGTTTACCAACAGCTCTTAATTTTTTATTACATTTTATTTATGTCTTTTTTTTTTTTAGGAAAAATTGTATTGCAGGGTCTTTACTTTACTACATAAAGCACCTTGAGGTGACTGTTGTTGTGGTTTGTTGCTATATAAATAAAACTGAATTGAACTGAAATGTTACTCTCACCTGTGGAGGCACACAGCAGGGAGGTAAGATAATTGAATTTTATTCCAAGCTTACATGGATGATGAAAAGCACTCCAGGTAAGCTGAATGTCCAAAAACAATTTGAAAGAAACCAAACTCTGAACGCCAGCAGGGAGAATGTAACAACAGTGAGAATACTCAACAGGAAGCCAAATGTACCCAAGCAAAAAATGATAGTATACCACAGGGTGGGGAAGAAACAAAGCACAACGCCATGAGCCATATAAGGAACTAGCTTCTAAATTTCAAAATAAAAGAGGAAACAATCTGAAGGAGGGACAACAAACCAGCTGGCTGTGGCAGATGGCTGCTTCTCATTGCGCCTGGTTCTACTGGAGGTTTCTTCCTGTTAAAAGGGAGTTTTTCCTTTCCACTTTTTGCCAAGTGCTTGCTCATGGTAATTCCATCTATTTCTATTGATAAATAGCTCTAGTCAATATCGATTAATAATTTTATGCAAAGGGGTGCAAAATTAGTAAGAAGATATTTTCTTGATATTCTATGTGGAGGTCTATTCTAAATGTTTCTGCCAACATAGGCTAACTGATTCATTGTTTCTGTATTAATAAAACTACTTTTTATTTTCATCAAAATCAAAATTTTTAAATTCTGACCCCAGCTTTTAATTTTATACAATCTGAGCAAAGTCCAAAAGCGCTTACCCATCCTCTGGCGTTGCCATACAAGAGTTTGTGTGACATTTTAAACAATCAATGCGGCAACTTAATGTGTCTTGGGATTTTCCTGCTTGCCTCAAATGTACCTCAAAAGGTTGAGTCCCAATTTTATTAACCTTTGTCAAGGGAAGGTTTTGCCGAGCTCGTGTTGTTTTTCTCCACAGCCTCGATTCGTGATGTCGCACTGTATTAACACATGACAACTAGTGTGAACTAGTGTACTTAAACAGCTCAGGCCTTTTCTTTGCTACCTGTTGGGGACCTTGATGATACTTTAGCAAGACAAGGAAACTGTTGCTCATTCATTCCCTCCCCCCCTGTGGGAAGTTGAACCACTGACCTTCCTTCACAAGACCACTTCACTGTCCTTTAGGCAAACACTGTCCCATTTTTGCACATGCCATCAGGCCAGAGTCGGTTCAGTGGGTTGCTTTTTGTGCACTGCAGCTGTACTTGTCTGGTGAGTCCAGAGGCCTTGCAGTCCCATGAGGATCTTTTTTCTCATGGCTACACCACAACACAGAGACAAAAAGACACAGCCTATGTCTTCCCTGGGGAGCTGTACATGTACTCTATGGGCTTTTGCCATCCTAATATACAAGGAGGTGTGTGTGTGTGTGTGTGTGTGTGTGTGTGTGTGTGTGTGTGTGTGTGTGTGTGTGTGTGTGTGTGTGTGTGTAGTGGGCATGCAGTAGTGGCTGCTTGCTGCTGACAATTTGGCATTTTAAGCAAATAGGCAACTGCAGAATTCCAAGATGAGCAATACCAGCAACTCCCTCAGGAGTGGGTGTACAAAATGAGAGAGCATTTCTTACAGAGGCACAGCAGCAACAAAGACAAAACAAACCCAAGTCTAACAACAGCATTAGTGACTTCACATCATTCTGATTTGTAACATGTTAAAATGGCTTTTAATACACCAGCTCTGTGCAGAAGAAATTCTAATACACTTCACACTTAAATTAAAAAAAAGAAAGGTACAATAGCCTTCCTTTTTTCTTAATGTCTAACTGCTAATGTAGGTCTTTGGCTTGGCTGTACAGAAGCTTTGTTCTCTGTGCAGTCTTGCAAACAGGGCTCTTACTTGTAATGACCAGCAGATGTCACTGCTAGGATTGAAGAAAATAAACACACAAGTACCTCCACAGAAATGGCACTTCATTATTGACAGTAATGGCAACCATGCAGATGAATTCCTGTGTACTTAGACCTGGTGTATATGTGTTTTGTGTGCGTGCGTCAGACACAAGGACATAAAGATGTTTACTCACACAGCTTCCCTTTTTGGGGATTTAGTTTATGGGTAAAGACTTAGTTTCCAGGTGAGTTTTCAGGAAATGAATATATGAGTGCAGTGTAGTAAAGTCTTGCAAACATGAGTGTGTGTGAGTCATTACTGGCATTAAAGAAAAAGGTATTCTCGATCAGGGTGATTGATTGATTGGCATTTATAATAATCTATAAGGAATTCATGCGTATGAAGTTGAGGTATATATACAGTGAGACCTCTGGTCCAGCTGTGGAAAACAAACCAAAAAAATAATACATCTTCTCACTGATTTAGACTTCATTAAAAATAAATGAGGAAATCAAAAAATGAAATGAAGTTCCTGTATGCATGAGCAAGTAACTTGTGTGGCTCTCCACCAGGTCACTCTGTGACTCCAAACCACTGTTTAATCCTCACAAGTCATAGTATCACCATTAGAAGCTGTAGGTGTCTATGTTTGCGTATGGACAGACAAACTGCGTCATGAGGCTTGACTGCAGGCATAATGTCGTAGCAGCGGTCTGACTGTGCAATCAATATGCAATCACCAGCCTATCGGTCATTTTCTTATTCCCAAAAATGGATTCATTTGGGAGGCTTAATGTGTTTGTGTTAACATTTTCCACTCCAGCCCTAGCTTAGCAAAACCGTTCCCAAATACCTGCCGCTGACCACAGAGACAAAGTGTTGATCTTCAGGTCTTGTGGAACTCTTGACTAATCTTTGACTCATCTCTGAATAAACTGCCTTTCTACACTTCAAAATACCAAATAGCCCTTTTCCACTCTGCTCAGTTGGACTCAACTATGTTTTTAGAGTTTTCTGTTAGGAGTTAGTACCTCGTACCAGACACTTTTTAGTAACTGCTTGAAAATATTTTAAAACAGACTGCATGCCACCAATGCAGTCAATGATGTCACTCAACGAGTCATTTGAAACGTGTTTTTGAAAACCAGCAATGAGGGAAATGGGTACACAAAAACCAACACTATGGTCCAGAGTAGAGTCAAGTTAACTCGAGCTCAGTAGGGCTAGTGGAAAAAAGGCTAGTGCCCTTGAAATACAATTTTAAAAAAAGTTTACTTCCCTCAAATCAGAAGACGTTCAAAATGTGATAATACAGGTAGAGATCCATCCATTCGCTTCCTCTTATCCTTTTCAAGGTCGCGGGGGGCGCTGGAGCCTATCCCAGCTGTCATAGGGCAAGAGGCAGGGTACACCCTGGACAGGTCACCAGTCTGTCGCAGGGCCAACACACAGGGACAGACAACCATTCGCACTCACATTCACACCTAGTGACAATTTGGATTATCCAATTAACCTATCCCCACAAGCTGCATGTCTTTGGACGGTGGGAGGAAGCCGGAGTACCCGGAGGGAACCCACGCAAATACGGCGAGAACATGCAAACTCCACACAGAAAGACCCCGGCCTGGTGTTGGAATTGAACTCAGGACCTTCTTGCTGTGTGGCAACAGTGCTAACCACCGTGCCACCGTGCTGCACCAGGTAGAGATCCAATACACATATAGATGCAAAACAGGTGCCCGGATTCATTTTTCACCAACTGGAGACCTTTGTTTTTAAAAAACGTAGCTCAACCTGCACTCACTTCCTTTTTTTAAATTAACGCACCTTAGATTTTTACATCTGGGTGGTCCTAACTTCATTCAGGAATAAACACTAGCATGCAGCTATGGTCATTCTTCGACGAAAAGACAAACGAGGACTGATGCAATAGTCTGGCATAGAGTCCTAAGATGAATGTCATTCAGGTCAGTCAGTGGCAGCACTTTCTGAGACTTGAGATCTCTAAATGACTAGAGACCATAAAAGTGAACAAAATCATGTGTCTGTCAGTGAGATACCCCATCCCTGCCAAATCTAGAGATGCCACAGTGTGATTTGATTTGCTTTTTATTCTAAAGTGATCATTCCACTG